GAACATATCTTATACCTCTCTATCTCCTCCTACACAGAAGGCACTTAAAATACATTGAATTGAACTAAATATTTTAATAATAATAATAGCTAACTTTATATAGTGCTTACTTTGTGCCAGGCACTGTGCTAAGAGCTTTACAATTATTTTCTCATTTGATCCTTTCAACAACCCCAGGAAGTTAGATGCTATCGTTATCCTCATTTTACAAATGAGGAAACTGAGGTAAATAGAGGTTAAGTGACTTGCCCAGGGTCACACAGCTAGTAAGTGTCTGAGGCTGGATCTGAACTCAGATATTCCTGACTCCAGGCCCAGAGCTCTATCCACTGTACCACCTAGTTTATTCATTATCAGAAGCATAGGATGAAAATATTATAAATCCATACTCATTAAGTTAACATTATATAGAAGACTAACATTACCAAAGTCAGATATCTCCAATCTTTAAGCCTTAAGGGGTAAATTTTTTCTTGAAAAAAAACTGGTTTTTTTTTCAATTAACAAGTATTTATTTTCTGTCTTTCCTTCTCTGTCTTGAACAACAACAAAAAAAAAACCACAAAAACCCTTTTGTAACAAATATGCATAGTCTAGCAAAGCAGATTCCCTCATTGTGCAAAAATGTATGTGTCATTCTGAATTTTTGGTCCATTACCTCTCTGTGGGTAGCACGGTTCATCTTTGGTCTTCAGGAATCATGATTTTTAATTGCGTTCATCAGAGTTTTCTAGTCTTTCGAAGTTGCTTTTTTTTTTTATAATTGTATAAATTGTTCCTTTGGTTCTGCTGACTTTATTCTGCATCAGTTCATAGAAGTCTTCTAATTATTCTCTGAAACTATATTCCATCATTTCTTATGGTACAGCATTAGCCCATTACATTCTTATACTATGATTTGTTTAGCCATTCTTCAATAGATGATTATGCCCCTTAGTTTCCAGTTTTTTGCTACTACAAAAAGAGTTGCTATAAATATTTTGGTACAGATATGTCCTTTTCCTCTTTCTTCAATCTGTTGAGGGTATATGCTTAATAGACCCAGTGATACATCTTAGTGACTCTGGGGGCATAGTTCCAAATTGCTTTTTAGCATGACTGGACCAAGGCCCAGCTCCACCAGCAGTGCATAATTAGTGTGACTGTTTTCCCAGAGTCCCTCAAGCTTCTTTGATCACCTTTGCCAATCTAATGAAAGTGTGGTAGAACCATAGGTTTACCTTAGTTTAATTTGCTCTAATTATTAATGATTTTGAGCATTTTGTACAATTGTTGATAACTTGGATTTCTACCTTTAAAAATTACTTGTTCATATTATTTGACCCTTTATCTGTTGGGGAAATGGCTCTTTTTTTCATGTATTTGAATTACTTACTTATATGTCTTAGATCTGACACCTTTATCGGAGAAACTTGCTGCAAAGATTTTTTTACAGTTATTTGTTACCCTTCTAATTTTAACTGTATTTGGTTAAAACTTTTAAATTTTGTATAACCAAAATTGTCCATTTTATCTTCTGTGATCCTCTCTATTATTTGTTTGGTCATGAACTCTTTCTCTCTTCATACATCTTAAAGGCAATTTCTTCCTCAGTCCTCTAATTTGCTAATGATATAACTTTTTGTGTCTAAGCCATGTATCCATTTGGAGTTTGTCTTAGTGTATGGTGTGAGATACTCATCTATACCTAGTTTCTGCCAAACTGTTCTCCAGTTTTACCAACAGTTTTTGTTGAATAAGTGCTTCCTTACTCACCAATAACTGGGATCTATGGATTTATTGAACACAATACTACAATGTTTGTTTGCTTCTGTATGTTATGTTCCTAATCTCTTCCCCTGATTAATCTCTCTTGTTTTAATCATTATGTTTTGATGAATACTACTTTGGGGTGTACTTTGAGCTCTGGTTCAGTGAGGCCTTTCCCACTTCTCTTTTTTTCATCATTTCTCTTGAGATTCTTGACTTTTTGTTCTTCCACATGAATTTCCTTGCTCTCTAAAGTAATCAATTGATTGTTTGATTGGTACAGCACTAAATAAATAAGTTAATTTAAGTAGTATTGTCATTTTTATTATATTGGTTTGACCTCATGAGCAATTAACATTTCCTCAGTTATTTAGATCTAGTTTTTGTAGTTTCATTCATGTAGTTTCTTGGTACATATTAATAAACAGACTCCCAAATATTACACATTCTGTAGTTATTTTTGATGGAATGACTCTTTCTATCTCTTCCTCCTCAGCCTTTTTGATGATAAATAGGAATTCATATTATTTATATGGATTCATTTTATATTCTGCAATTTGGCTGAATTTCAGTTAATTTTAGTTGACTTCTTTTTTCCTTTTAGGTTTCATATTAGGTAGACTCTTAAGGAGTGTGAACATTAGGGAGCTATTGGCTAGATTATAAGAATCTGAGCAATGGCTAGATTGTAAGAATCTGAGCCAATTTTAGTTGACTTTTTAAGGTTCTCTATATAGACCATCATATCGTTTGCAAAAAAAAAAAACATTTTGTTTATTCTTTGCCTATGCTCATCATATCAATTTCTCTTTCTTGTTTTGCTGCTATGGTTAGTATTTCTAACACAATGTTAAAATATAGTGATAATAGTAGGTTTCCTTGATTTACCTCAATCTTATTGGAAAGGCCTCTAACTTTCCTACATTTTACAAGTAATGTTTGCTCTTGATTTTAAATAAATATTATATATTATATTAAAGAAAAAATTCATTTATTCTTATGCATTATAGAGTTTTTAACAGAAATGGATATGGATTTTTTCAAAAATCTTTTTAGCTTTGATTTATATAATCATATGGGTTTTTTATTATAATTTATGTTACTAATACGATCTATTATAGTGTGTATAGTCTTCCATATACTAAACCAACGTAGCATTCCTGGTAGAAATGCCACCCAACCTTTTTCATATGTTGTCAATATATAGCCTATTTGCCAGTGGTAAATTTTTCTTTTTCTTTTTCTTTCTTTCTTTCTTTTTTTTTTTTGGTGAAGCAATTGGGATTAAGTGACTTGCCCAGGGTCACACAGCTAGTAAGTGTTATGTGTCTGAGGCTAGATTTGAATTCAGGTCCTCCTGATTCCAGGGCCAGTGCTCTATCTACTGCACCACCTAGCTGCCCCCCAGTGGTAAATTTTTCAAACCAATTTCTCCTGCCATACTCCTGTAGGGAGTGGTGCTTTCTTCCCTGAGCTGCTCAGGGACTTGTCAAATAATTCCTGCCTCTTCCCCCTAACTTTGAGACTTCAGAGTCAAAAATCTTCCCTCAATCATTGTGATTCTAAGGCTTTAGAGAAATGAAAAAAAAAATCTTCTACCAAAATAAATGTTGGGGATACCTGCCCTAAGTACCCACAAAATTACCATACACTGAGAGAAAAAAGCCATAGCAATGAAGAGAACCAAGTATTGTTTTATATACTTACTTTTTGGTTTTACATATTTACCTGTATATTTATCTTAAATATATAATTATTTTTATATTTTCACTCAACAAATATTAATTGTCTTACTGTGTACCTCTTGTTGCCTTCTTGATTTCTTTCTATACCATTCGGTTCTTAAAAGCTACACTAGTAGCAACTTAGTAGTAGTACTAAGTAGTAGGACTCTTAACCAGTCCTACCAAGCTGAAAAGGCTCTAAGTATTGATTACCCAGGGAAACCCTGGAAAAGTGGCTTATCTAAGGATCAGACTAGCCAAGTTTGAAGAGGCTCATCACTGGAAAGCTGAAGTGATTTAAGTTTTCAGTCAGGGTAGTTCATGATGGCCTTAGTAAGGCATAGAGGGGTGGAGATCCACATTGGGAGGGTGTGTCCACGCCAGTGAAATCACAGATCCTTTAAATTTTGAAGGATAGTGATGATGGTTGGACTTGAACAAAAAGTTGTAACAAGGGTTTTGTGATCTCTCCTTGATGACCTTTAAGTAGATTTAAGATTATTCACTGTGGGCAACCTGGAAGATAGGTTGTTGTGAGCACAGGATTTCACAATTGTAAAGCCATACTCTATAAATATGGTCTATTATCTCCCCAGTACATGAAGCCAGGACTGTCAACCTACATATTTCACAACCTGGCTAGTTTGAAAGTTGACTGCTTATAAATTTGGCTTTACAGAAACGTGGAATGTCAGAGCTGGAAGGCGCCTTAAAGGTCACATCCAACCACCTTATTTTCAAACAAAAACACTGAAGCCCATTGAGGTGGAAAGACTTGTCCATGGCCAAACATCTAATTCATTGAAGGCTTCTATATGTTCACTCTGTCCTAGATCATTCTGGCACTGCTTCATTGAGCAGTCATGTCATTACTAAGCAGCTCTTCCCTCAGTTTTCTTATACATGTAAGCTTTAACAGTTGGATTTTAGGAGCTAGGGGACATGGGTTCAAATTCCAGCTTTGCTCCTTACTAGCTGTGTGATCTTGAGCAAATTACTTGACTTTTCTGTGCCTTGGTTTCTTCCTCAGTAAAATGGGGGTCATCATAGATTAGAGTCGGAAGGAATGTTGGGATCTCATCCAGTCCAATCCTTTCATTTTACAGATGGGAAAACTGAGACCCAGAAAGATCAAGATACCCAAGATAACAGGCAGCAGCATTGCCAGGATTCGGACTCAGGTCCTCTCATTCCAAAATTGATACTCTGTACTACCTTGATCTTAGGATTATTTCAAAGATTAAATGAGATAATTCATATAAAGTATTTTGTAAACTTTAAAGACTATAAATATCAGAAGACATGAATTCAGATCCTCTGATCTTAAGCAAATTATTTAACCTTCCTGAACCTTAGGGTCCTGATCTATGAAATGAGGATAATAATATATTTATTGCCTACCTCCCAAGATTGTTATGAGAATCAAATGAAATAATTCATGTAAAGTATTTTACGTGTAAAAACTCTATTAATGTCAGCTACTCTGGTGATGATGACAGTGATTAACAAACTACTCTCTCTTAACAGGTCCTTACAGAAAGTGGCTATGGTGCAATTACAACTGATATCCAAGAGGGTCAAGAATTCTATTATGCTGAAGATTACCATCAACAGTACCTAAGCAAGAATCCCAATGGATACTGTGGTCTGGGAGGCACAGGAGTTTCCTGTCCTATTGGAATTAAAAATTAGTCAATGCCCATATGATGGCATTGAGCTTGCATTTGCTAATGGCACTGCTATAGGGTAATTGACCAGAGGCATAGCTTTCAAATTCTGGCTCTATAAGGGGTTTCTAAACAAATTAAATACAATGATGCCCTGATATGATGTGAATATCTCACGTTGAATTCTAATAGTAGCTGAATTTATGTGATTATTGGAGCTACACTTTCTGGTATGGGATGCTAATTAAGATGATTAAGCCTAAAATGTGAGCAGTTTCTATCTTCTGAGAGAAGGAGGGAATGCAAGGGAGAGGGTGATAGGAAGTTGTTTCTGGTGGGAAAATCTTTACTACTGCCCTGGCCTAGGCAACATGCATTCTTCTTTATCCTGTGCCATCAGATTTGTAATCATTTGTGACCATAATGACATGTTTACAGAAATATTTCTCTGTACTGAATACAGAAGGGTAGTTCTGCAAGAATAGAGCCAGCAGAGCTTTTGATGCCTGTTACAGGCTTCCTCATGGCAATAGAAAGATCCAAATCTGCTTTATGGATTATGATGCTTTGCTTATAGCAATGAGAAAGGTAGCAAATGCATAATCTAATAAAAGTTTGTAGTCTGAATAAAACCAACCTGATGTTTAGCTTGCTTTTTTACCTGTTTCAATGTATTGTCTCAATGAATTTTAAGATGAATTTGCATCCTTTAAAGAAATGAACAGCAAAACAACACAGGCAATCACACACCTCTCATCACTTTCCCTAAAGACAAAAATCAATATGATTGAAAGTTTGGAAAATATAGTGTACACCTCAAGGATTTACATAGGAATTTTTCACTAATGGGGTTACAGAAGGCATGAAGATGTAGAGCCTCCACTTCCTCTCCCTCTTTGCACCAAGGAGATTGGCTAGTGAAATAGCCATTCGGCATCAGGCCAGCCAGAGATGGATTGAAAGGGTTTAGTTGTGGCTGAAGGATTTCCTTCAGGACCTGGCCATCTCCAAACACTCTAGTGTGGCCATAATACTGGGACAGCCTACAACACCTTGCGTTCCATTTGTAATTCTTCCAAATGTTGTACCTCCCACAGCTCTTATTTTCATGATTTCAATTTTCACTGACTATAGAGGAGGGAAGAATGTTAATTCATAGGTAAATTTTATAGTGGTGCAGTGTAGTAGCAGATAGAGTAGTTGGGTTGGGATCAGAATAGAATCCAAATCCCACTTCTTACACTTTCTAGCTATATGATTTCACCTCTCTGTGTCAGAGGCAGGAGTTCCCAAAGACTTACCTAAAAAGTCATAAATGAGTTGTGTTTGCCTCTTTGGGGAGGATTCTCACATTAGGAATTCCTTACGTGGTTGAATTTGTATCCTAGTTAGACTTAAATCACATTTCTAGATGTGAAAGGCAGAAATTTAGATTAATAATAATAACTGACACTTATAGTGCTTTGTTTGCAAAGTACTATATTCGAGCCTCATGACAACACAGGTTGTTGACGGAGGTGCTCTAGGAATATTTTCTCTGTTTTACAGGTCTAGAAACTGAGACTCAGCAAAGTTAAATAACTAATCCGTGGTTATCCAGCTAAGAAGTGTTGGAGGTAGGACTCAGATTCAGTTCTTTCTGAGTCTAAAGTCCAACATTCAAACATCAGTGGTGGAAGTTCTATGGGAATCTTCCATGTGAGGAAACCCTGTCTGTCCTATATGCCCTATCGTAGACATTATTGTTTTACGTGACTATTCAAGGTTCCCTCCTGCCTACTGTTTCAACAACTCAAATCATTCTTGTTACTTAAGGACTCTATTCAAGTAAGGTCAGAAAGAAACATAGAAAAGCAGGGCACCTTTAAAAATTACATGTTGAATTTATTATATACTTAAAAGGAAAAGCAAACTGTACATAATAGAGATCCACAATTCCATGTACAACCTTTTTTTCCCCCTTGTTCTAGTATTTGTATGGAAAACTCCTTTTATTTGGGATTTAAGTTCAGAATTTAAAAAAAAACATTTAAAATATTGCTTCCTAAAAGGAATAAAAAAATTTAAAAATAAACAATAAAATAAAATAATATTTTTAAAATCAGTGTGTTGACCACATCTAAAATCATCTTTGGCCTTGGTACAGTTTTCCTTAAGGCAGCATAAGCTAAGCCATTTATTTTAACATTAGCATGTCTGTGATATAGAAACAAGAGCAGAAATAGCATTCTCCCTATTCCCTAACAGTTTTATTACTAACTTAACCTCCAGTTAGTCAGAGAAGGGAATCCAACAAGTACCAGAGTCCTGAATCTCATACTTCAATGTGGTAGTTGCTTTGTTCTTTTAAAAATTTGGGGGGATGGAATAAAAAATTTAATTGCTATTTTTTGTGTTCAAATCCCCTTTACCTACAAAAATTCCTCACTTCTCCTATCCAAAGATCCATTCTCTATAACAAAAAATAGAAGAGAAAGAAGAAAAAAAAAACCTTTTCAACAAAAACTAATCACATCAACCACATCTAATAATATATGCAGTGTTTGGTATCCATAGCCCCCTTATCTCCAAAGAAAGGAGAATGGTGCATCGCTGCCTCTTCCTATCTCCTTTAGGGCCAAGCTTGGCTGTGAAAATTATAAAATGTTCGGTTTGAAGATTTGTTCTTTTTATTTACATTGTCGTCATTGTATATACGTCTTTTTGTATCAGCTCATCTAAGTCATCCCATATTTACAAAGCCTTTTTTTTTTCTTTTTGGTGAGGCATTTAGGGTTAAGTGACTTGCCCAGGGTCACACAGCTAGCATCAAGTGTCTCAGGTCGGATTTGAACTCAAGTCCTCCTGACTCCAAAGCCAGAGGTCTATCCACTGCACCACCTAGCTGCCCCTAAATCCTCTTACTTTACTGAGAAAATTGAGGCCATTCAATATGAGCTCCTTCCCTCTTCTTTCCTAGCCTTCATGTCAAAACCCACTCTCTTCTCCTTTCTCCCAGTCTCTGACACCGAAGTAGCCCTATTCCTTGCCAAGGTCAACTCCTCATCCCATCACCTCCAGTCTCCTCTAGCAGATTGCAACCTCAGTCAACCCTGCTCCCCACCCCCACCCCAATCTCTTCCCATCTACTGGTTTCTTCTCTACTGCCTTAAAACGTGCTCAAGTTTCTCATATCCTTAAAAACTTTCACTAGATAAAAAGAGAAATTCCACCCAAAATAACTGCAGACAATATAAACTGCTTGGAACTTTACCTGCCAATACAAACCCAGGGACTGTATGAACACAATTACAAAACACTCTTTACACAAATACATCCAGATTTAAACAATTGGAAAGATATTCATTGCTCACGGGTATGCTAAGCCAATATAATGAAAATGACAATTCTACCTAAGTTAATTTACTTATTCAGTGCCATACCAATCAGACTGTCAAAGAATTCTTTTATAGCACTAGAAACTAGGTCTCACACTTGAGACAAATGAAAGCCCAAGAGATACTTTCTGGGTAATTAATAATCAATTTATTAATTAGGCTGGTTGATGATAAATTGATGGTCAGTGGTTTTTCTTGGTAACCAAAGACAAAACCATGGAGATCACTGAATGCTTAAATATCTTTGGAAAAGGGTTGGTTTTCAGGTGAAATCTTTGGAAATAACCTTTGGAAAAGGGGGTCCCCCTGACAGTTAAAATTAACCCTGTTTGGTGAACAATTAACGAGGGGGTAGACTTTCAAATGAGGAGGTAAGTTGAAAGTCTTCAGCTCCTCCTCCTGAGAACATGGCTTGATCATGAAACTTAGCTGCCTCCAGCAATCTGGACAAAGGAATCCATCTCTATCCAGACCATTCTGGTTGGTTTTCTCCTAAACTCCAGTTGGTTCATTACCCTATACTCCAATTGAGGGGTACAAGGGCATAGACTTAATGCTTGAGGACTAGAATTCACCTAGAGTAGAGTCTCTTTATACTCTAAACAGAAGTAAGGTCTTCTGCTTGCATGGGGTCCTGCCCAGGATCGAGGAGCATTTTCCCAGAGGACTTGAGCAATCTCATCTATCAGGAATGTCTTTCAGAAGCTGACTGACTGGCCTACAAGGGTGTGGGCTCTGAGTAAGGAAATCAAAAGCCTGGATCTTAATTAATAACATGTTATTAATATAATAGAAAGTAATAATTTATCTCACACTGTATACCAAAAATAAGGTCAAAATGGATAAATGATTTAGACACGAAAGGTAATATATATAGATATAGATGAGGGAAGTGTTTATTTAGCTTTCCAAGACCTTGGTAACCTTGCCCCCACCTCACCTCTCAAGCAAGCTCGTTGTTCATTACTCCCCCTCATGCTCTGCAGTCCAGCCATGTTGGATGTTTCTCTGTTCTTCCCGCAGGACACTTCATATCCTGCCTCCATACCTCGCTTCCATTCTCAAAATCACTCTCTTCCTTCAAGACACAGCTCAACCCTGATCCCCTCAAATGCTAATACCCTTCCTCTCAAACTCTCTTGTGTTTAACTACTTTGTGTTAATTTTCTTTATATACAAATATATTCTGTATATAATTTATAGGTACATATTATTGTTTACATATCAATCCTTGTTGTGCTCCCCCACTAAGATGTAATCTTCTTGCAAGTGGGAATTGTTTCATTCATTCCTAGCACAGTGCCTGGTCATCCACTGCATCCCAGTCCATCACCAGTCATCTGACTTTTGTCCTGCCACTGGACTTTGATGGCTTTGGAAGAGAGAACGAAGCTGACCACTGTTCAACCCTCCCTCACCTAAATCCAGTTCATATCCAACTAAATTAATTAAATTTATCCAATTATCCAATTAAATTAATTAAATTTATCCAATCCAATTAAATCCAAGTCATCACTCCATAATGTGATTGGTCCTCTTCAAACAAGGGACTGCAACAACAGTGCCTAACACAGAGTAGAAAATTAATATTTATTTGATTGAAAAGCATTTATATATACCCTATCATACTTAATGCTCACAACAACTCTGTGAGGTAGGTAATAAAAATATTCTAATTACCTTTTGTGTGTGAGGAAACTGAGTCTCAAAAAGGTTATGTAATTTGCTGAAGGTCACAAAGTTAGCAACACCACAGGAGGATCTCCAACCCACTCTCTTCTTTCAGATTCAGTGCTCTTTAAACTACCTCTCTTAAAAATTTGACCCACCTTCCTGGACCCTGCTTTAAACACCAGACTCTACTGTGACCTCAGCAGTTGTGAATAGAAAAGCAGGTGATGTCATATAAGGCTGGTGAAAGACTGATCTCTCAAATTTATGAAATGCCTGCAAGGTTACTCCATTTGGCTTTCCAGACATCCACAACTCCCCCAGACTCTGCTAATTGTACAAGGAAATGAGAAGACTGCGAAACTGAACCACAATGTTGTTGCTGCCAATGTTTTTTTACCTTGCATTGTTGGAAAGTACTTTGGGACGAAATGACCGGCATAGTAAGTACTATGTACATGTATGTGTATGTGTTTATGTGCCTTGTGACTATGCAGTGATTCTGTAACTCCCAAGGGAAAATCAGTCTCATTGCTTCATGCTCACACCTCAGTAGGTTTCAGATGAATATATCTATATGGATGTGTATGTAGATAAATTCTACATACATATATGTTCTTAACTGAACTTGTGATTTATTTCATTAGTGTAAGGAACTCCCTTTAACAATGCAGATCAGCACCCACTCTGCAACTTGTGTTGTTAGGTGCTTGATGTATTGGGAGGATAAGTGACTTTTCCAGGGTCAAACAACTAGTATGTGTCAGAGACAGAACTTAAACTTTGGTCTTCCCGTCTCCAAATCAGCTCTCTATCCACTATGCCACAGTATGGCACGGACTGTCTTTTGCCTCTTTTTATATCCCCAACATTTAGCCTACTGCCTGGCACTTATTAGGTACTTAATAAGTATTTGTTGGGGCAGCTAGGTGGCGCAGTGGATGAGCTCTTGCCTTGGAGTCAGGAGGACCTGAGTTCAAGTCTAGCCTCAGACATTTGATACTTACTAGCTGTGTGACTCTGGGCAAGTCACTTAACCCCGATTGCCTCACCAAAAGGCAAAAAAAAAAAGTATTACCAATTGTTTGGAGATATATTTATATGTGTGTATGTATATATTTGCACAGCTTTACCTCACTTAAGTCCAATTCACGCACAAGTCAAAACACCCTCATAATATCATTGGTCCTTTTTGAGCTCAGACAAAAAACAACAAATGAACAATTCTAAACATACATACATATATGTATGTATGTCTACATATACACACATACCCACAGAGGTTTAGCTATACATACATAAAAGTCTGAGCATGTATTATTTAATGATATGTTAAAAATGAATTAAAATGATATATTAAAGTGTGTTTAATTATATATATGTCATCACCTTCATTTCCCAAATATACCCATATATATTTTAAGTATTATAGATGTACTTTTATATATCTGTGTGTATATTATATGTATATATGTGTATATATATGTATTTGTACGTGTATGCATGTGTATATATGTGTATATGTATATTTATATAGATGGATACAAGCTGTCCTCAAAGTCTTTGTGCAGTTTTAAGCCTTAATAGCTTAAATCTACACTGAGACTTTGGGGATACCCTGTATATGATTATCTTCATTTCCATATTCATATGTATACTAAGTATCAGAGATGTCCTAACAAAAACAATTTATGTGATGCTTCACGTTTTACCATGGGCTTTACATATGTTTTCCTTTTTAATCTTTCCCAACAACTCTGAGAGATGGGTCCTCATTCTACAGATGAGGAATATGAGGCTGAGAGACTTTGATTTACCCCAGGTCACATAGCTAGTAAGTGTCGAAGGCAGAATTTGAACTCATGGCTTCCTGACTCCACGTCCAGGACTCTGTCTACCTAGCTACCTCATCACCATGGTGAAGGGGAGGAGACCTAGACATCTCCCAGCTTATTAGAAAAGGCATTACTGGTTCACCTTCTGCCTCCTCTGTCCCCAGATTTAGTGCTTTCTCTACTGTACTACTCTGAGTGCCAATGCCAATCCTGCAGGACTGTTTTACAGAAGGATTCTATTAATTGGTAATTCTGCCAGTGATATCTAAGTATCTCTTTCTGTACAACTGCAATAATAATTTTTTTTAATTTTTGCTTTTTCAATTGGGTGAGAGAGATTCTTTTAATTTTATTTTTGACATGATTAGGCAGGTTGAATAATTTAAAGTCATTATTTGTTATTTGTATATTTTCTGGATATTCTATTCCTTTCCTTTAAATATTTTTCCATTAATAAATGATCATTTAAGAAAGAAATCATTTCCTCTGAATATTCACATCCATTTCTTATAGATTTTCTATGTCAAATGCCACCCTCTCCTTTTTTTTTTTTTTTTGGTGGGGGAAAAGAAAGGCACTGAATTGTAATATTCCTTTGTTCAATTCTTCATGACCCCATTTGGGGTGGGAATGGTTTGACATTTCCTTCTCCAGATCATTTTATAGATGAGGAAATCGAGGCAAACAGGGTTAAGTGACTTATCCAGAGTCATACAGCTAGTCTGAGGCCAGATTTGAACTCAGGAAGATGAGTCTTCCTAACTCCAGGTCCATCACTCCATCCACTGTACTATCTAGCTGCCCAATCTTCCTTTAGCACCTTTAATATGTTTCTTATTCAATTATTTTTTGAGATTTCTTGTATCTCTTTTGGTGTTGTTTCAACTTGCATTTCTGCAGGATAATTTTATTACTATCTTAATATATTTAATATTCACTTTGAAAACAAATGGTATGTAACAAGTTCATGGTTTATGTACAATCCTCTTTTTTGTGCTTTGCATGTTGAAATGTTTGTATGTGTTTATGACTGTTAAGTTTATGATAAATAAAATTTAAGAATAAAAATAAATAACCACTATTCTAATTATATCTCACATCATTTATGGGACTAGTTTTATAGAAAAATACATTCTAAGGTCAACTTGGGGTACCACGACCTTATTCTTGGGCACTAGTCATTTGTTAACTCTTTACATTTACATAAGAGGAGGTTCAAGAATTCTGAAATGCCCTTATCTGACCATATTCTACTGGCTTTTCACCCCTCTCTCTGCCTTTCCTTACATAACCCTACTCTTCATCTGCTCTGTGACTTCCAATTTCTTGACCCCTTAATTCTCTCCCAGGCCTTCTCCCCTGCCCTAGCCACTCTCTCCTCTTCTCCCCATCTTGAATCCTTAGTGAACCAATTCAACAGTACACTTTCCTCTCTTGAATCTCTAATCCCATTTCCATATCACCCAGCCAAAGCTCAGCCTTGAATCACGCCCAGCATCTGTCACCTTTGCTCCTACAAACGTGTTGGTGAACAAAGGAGGAGAAAATCACACTCCTGTTCTAACTGGGTCCACTGCAACTGGTCCCTCACTGATGCTGGGCAATCCTGTTGTACTCACTTATCAACTCACTATCCCATTTTCCATAGCAGCTCTTCCAAACCTTTTCATCCTTCCCCAAACTGTCATCTCTACTCTTTCACTTACTTCCAATCTCTCCCTCTCTACTGACTCATTCCCTACTACCTACAAACATGTCCATGTCTCCCCTATCCTGAAAAAAAAAACCCTGACTTAATCCCTCCACCCCTGCTAACTACCATCCTAAATCTCTTCTGCCCTTTATAACTAAATTCCTTGAAAAAACCATCTGCAATAGGTACCTCCACTTTCTCTCCTCTCACTCTCTTCTTAACCCCTTTCAGAATAAATTTGGATTCAGTCAAAAAGCTGCACTTCAGGACCTAGAAGGCCACATATGGCCTTAAGGCCACAAGTTCCCCACCCCTATTCTATTTCCAAAGAAGATTAGGGGAAAAGGAAAAGAACCTATATGTATTAAAATGTTTAAAGCATCTCTCTTTGTGGCGGCAAAGAACTAGAAATTGCAGGGATGCCCATCAATTGAGGAATGGCTGAACAAGTTGTGGTATATAACTGTGATGGAATATTACTGTAGTATAAGAAATGATGAGCTCAATGGTTTTAAAAAACATGGAAAGACTTGCCTAAAATAATGAAGAATGAAGTGAGCAGAACCAAGAGAAGATTGTAAATATTGTTTTAAGAATGATTTTGAGCAAATAAGTTATTTTGTCTATTATAAATACCCAAATTAACTATAAAGGACCTATGAAGAAAGATGTTATCTGTATCCAGAGAAAGAACTGATAAATAGAAGTATGTATAGAATAAATTTACATATATATGTATACACACACACACACACACACACACATTTGTGTCTAATGGTAGCCATCTCTAGAGTGAGGGGAAGAAAAGGAAGAAAAAAAAAGAAAAAATTTACATGATAATGTTGTATATGTGAAAGGCATAGCAAGTTGTGCATGATAGATGGTAGTTTCACATACAATTGTCTTTTGTACTATGTTATGGAAATACTTGTTTTATTCCATAAATTAAAAATAATTTTTTTTAAAAAAGAAAGAAAAAGAAACCAAATCCCTGACCAAAGAAGAAATAGGTTCAGGAGACAAAGAGAGCTTCTGACCAACTACTGTCCTTGCTGGAATCTCTAGGGCTCACAGAATGTGAGCGATTCTGTGAGTGATAGAAGGCATCTTCGTGGTTGAGTTCAAATCCCACATTTTATTCATGAGGAAACTGATAACCAGTCAGTCACTCAATAAGCAATTATTAAATGCCTTATATATGCCAGACACTGTGGAAATAAGCACTGGGGATAAAAAAAAGTCCAAAGGCTGTCCTTGCCCTCTCTTCTTTAGAGAAGAAAAATGGATTTGCCCAAAGACACGCAGGTAGTAAGTAGCAGAGCTGGGACGGGTGCGAAGCTCACCTGACGACTAGCACAGCACCCTTTCCACTGCAGCATAAGCATTTTACCAGGTTTGAAAGAAGATGGGAGTTTTGCTTTCCAAGGTATGTGCAGACCTACACAAAGACTACCATTTTTCTTCCCATCTCTCCCCTCTCTTCTTGCGATAGTTGCCTGTGGTCAAGTCCATACTCCCTCAATCTTGAAAACTGAAGCTGCCCCAGTCCTAGGGGGAGTTGAGGCTACCCGTTTTCAAGTTCCTTGGCAAGTGGGCATCTATCTCAATAACACATTTTTATGTGGAGGATCGATACTGGATAAGTTGTGGATTTTAACTGCTTCCCACTGCTTCATAGATGACAAGTAAGTATTGAGAAAATGAATTTGTGGGTTTTTTTTTCTTTCTTTCTTTACAGAATGACAGAATCTTAGCTATGGGAGGACTTTCAGAGGCCTCTGTTCCTACCCATATCTGAACAAAAATCCCCTCTACAGCAGGCCCAGTAAGTGGTCATCTAGCATTGACTAGAAGACTTCCTAGGGCGGGGTAGCCCCTTCCACTTTGTTTGGCACATCTTTTCATCAAGTCTAAATAGGTTTCTTTACAATGGACATCCATTGATGTTGATTCTACCCTGCAGAGTGAAGTAGAATAAGGTAATCTGTGTTTTGAATGTTTATTATAACTCAGACAGGCGGGGCAGCCCTGAAACAAAGCATGGGAATGGAATTAGAGCCAGCTGCTTTTATTTAATTGGCTTCAGGCAATCCTTGAAGGTAACTCCTTTTTTCCTTGCTAGGCTTTCTTTATTGGGTGCCTATATATACAAGCACAGAAAATGCCCTCAAGTTACGTTATATAACTATAAATTCTTAGCGTTAAAATAACAACTGCCATTTACATAGCGTTTACTATGTGTCTGTACTAAGCACTTTACATTTATTATCTCATTTGACCCTCACAACAACTCTGGGAGGTAGATACTGTTATTATCCCCATTTTACATTTGGGGAAACTGAGGCAGACAGTGGTTAGGTGACTTGCCCAGGGTCACACAGCTAGTAAGTGTCTCAGGCTGGATTTGAACTCAGGTCTTTCTGATGCTAGTAGCATGCTATCCACGATGCCACCTAAGTACTCCAAAGGACCTTAGATATTACCTATTCAAACTCCATCATTTTACTCATGAAAAAGTAGACCTAGAAAGATTAAGGCATTTACCTAAGGCCATACAGCTACTCAGAGGCAGACGTAGATCTCACTCAAGTCTCTTAGTATTCTACTACTCTTTTGACGACATCATTCTCCCTCTTAGAGATTTGTCAAGTGTTTTCATTACACATTAATTCAAACTATTGTAACCAGACTTCCAATGGATTAATTGAGATTCCTCTTCTCCCTTCTCTATAGCTCAGAACCCCTTGATATCATCTCCCCTGACACACTCTTTCTTTTATTACGCTAGTCTCTGAAAAAGAGGTGACTTCTTGGGTCTTCTTGGCCCTTGCCAAGGCCAATTCTTCTGCATGTACCCTTGACCCCTCTCCCATTTCTCTCCACCGCCAGATTTCCTCTGTAATCAATCATTCTTCCTCTCTCTGTCTCTCAGTCTCTGTCTCTGTTTCTCTCTGTCTTTCTCTGTCTTTGTCTTTCTCTGTCTCTCCCTCCATCTCTCTCTGTCTCTCTCTTTCTCTCCCTCCCCTTACCTATCTCACTCTGTCTTTCTTTCTCTCTCTCCCCCTATATCTTTCCACTTCTATCTCTGTCTCTCTCTCCCCCTCCACATCTCTGTGTGTCTCTATTTCTCCCTCAATCTCTCTCTGTCTCTGTCTTTCTCTGTCTCTGTCTCTCTGTCCATCTCTCTCTGTCTCTCTCTTTCTTTCTCTCTCTCCCCTTCCATATCTCTCTCCCCCTCCATCTCTCTTTCTGTCTCTTTTTATTTCTCTCTCTCCCCCTCCATCTCTTTGCCTCTGTTTCTGTCTCTCTCTCCCCCTCCACATCTCTCTCTCTCTCTCTCCCTTCCCATCTACTACTTTCTTCCATCATGCTTACAAACATGCTCAGGTCTTCCCCATTCTTAAAAAAAAAAAAAAGCAAAAACAAAAACAAATTCATGACTGAAGCTATCATACAAGATCTCATTTTCTCTTTCACAACCAAAATCCTAGGAAAAAAACTATCCACATTCATTGCCTCCACTTCATTTCTTCTCACTCAGTTGACAGTTCACTTGGATTCTGATCTTATATTTCAACAGAAACTGCTTTTAAAAAAACTATTTTATTTTATTTTCAGCTTTGAATTCTCTCCATCCTCCAACTGCCTCCCCTCCATTGAGAAAGGAAGAAAAAAACGAAACCTGTTACAGATATGAATAGTCAAGCAAAGAAAATTCTCCTATTAGCCATGTTTTAATAATAATAATAATAATAATAATAACTCCTTCTTTGACAGAAATTGTTGAGAAAACAAACTATTCTCCTCAGAGTTAACAGTGATCTTTTTTTTAAATTGACAAGTGTTTATTATACATCAACAAACAAACATGTATTAAGTGCTAAATGCCAGGGACCCAGAAATAAAAGTAAGACTATTCTTGTCCTAAGAAGGAGCTTACTTCTGGGACGGGAGCAGAGAAAGAGCAACATGTACATAGAGAAATGAATACAACATATACACAGAGCACATCCCAAGTAAATGGGGGGAGCATTAGCAAATGGAGGAACCCAAGTAGGCTTCATGTGAGAGGTGCTACATAAGCTGCACTTTGAAGTGAAGTGATAAGGAGAGAACATGTATTCCAGGCATAGG